TGAGTAATTTCGTGTCTTGGGTTAATAATCGGGAATCATAACTTGCATGATAGAAGATTAATTGGGTGAAGAATTATCGCATAGGGGGAAGATAAAATCCTAGATCCGTTTTATATTGATATTCTCTCGTGTTTAATTGCTTTCTTAATTAGTTTAATTTATTTAGTTAATTAATTTGACAAACCTGCGTAGGCTGGATAAAAATCATAATTGTTAAAATTTGGTACTTAGGATTAAATAATTTGCGTATTCCCTGTGGGATCGACATCCGACTGTCACGAGTCTACTTTAGTACTTGTTTGCGATACGTGCACTTGCGTGTGGGTATTTAGCACCCAACAGTTACACCGAGTGATTTTTTACCGTTGATCTACACATACCAATGTGGGTGTGTAAAATTTGAGCAATTTTTCTTACTTCAGCCATTTTATTTATTTTATTTAATTATTTTATTTTTTTTGTAGGTACTTTTTATGCGAAGAGTTATAATAAAATAATTATAATAAAATAAAATAGCTGAACAAGTCATGTATAATTATACTTAATATTATTATAATTATACTACTTATAATTATTTTTTTAATAATAAAAAAGAAATTAACTAAATAAATTATTGTGCATTATACTTAATATTAGTTTTCATTATACTACTTATGATTATTTTTAAATAATAAAAAAAGAAATTAACTAAATCAATTTCATTAACTTAATATTACTAAAAGTTTAATTATTAGTAGTCTATTTTAAAATTTTAATCATTTTTAGCCCCAAAAAAATTTAAAAATTAAATTTTCGCCCCAAAATAGTGTTTTCCGTTACTTGCTAACGGACATGTAACGGCGGGGACCAAAAGTGTTCAAAATTGAAACTTGGAGGTGAACTTTGTTCACTTTGAAACAAGGGGGACCAAAAGTGAAATCGGGCCAAACATAAGGAACCAAAAGTGTAATTATCCCACGTAAACCTTATCCCCAATGATTCCTTATGAACATTCAAACTCCACAAGTTTTGTTGTGTGATTGTGATGGTTCCAAATCAAAAAAGGTTTCCAAACTGTGAAATTATGATTGGGTGATTATGGTGTTACCTTATTTCACCTCAATTGGAGGATTCGATAAGGAAATTTAGGGGTAGAATTTATGTTCGGGATAATTACACTTTTCGTCCCTAGCTATACTTGTCACCTAAAATGATTAAATTCCTCAAACTTTCGCCGCCACAAATTTAGTCCTCAAACTTGCCATTTTTTGACACTTTTAGTTCGGTCGTCAACTTACCCACTTAACATGGACGGAAATGTCATATGCGGCGCACGCGAGGTCCATGGCAGTACAAATCAAGTTGGAAAATGAGTTGACGGCTGAACCAAAAGTGTCAAAAAATGGCAAGTTTGAGAACTAAATTTGTGGCGGCGAAAGTTTGAGGATCAAAATGTTTAGGTGCTAATAAGTATAGGGACGAAAAGTGTAACTATCCCGTTTATGTTCATAACGAATTATATGGAATTAGGGGGGATAATTACACTTTTCGTCCCTATACTTTGCCACTTACACGATTTTCGTCCCTAAACATGTCACTTTTACGCTGTTTATGTCCCTCCGTCCATTTGTCCTGTTAGTATGGACGGAAAATCGCACGTACGACGCACGTGACACACAAAAGCACCTCCCCCCTCCCCCTCATAACGTCCAGATCACACATTACAGGTAGACACAAATTGCCCTAATTCTCTCTTGAAATCCAAATGCCCCATTTTCCAAATCCTTAATTTCTTCTACTCAAACTTGCATTAGATTGAACAAAAAAACAACACTGGAACCACAAACAACTACATCTTATTCACTAAATTAATCACTGAAAATTCTAACCACTAATTTTGATCAATACAATGACAATTAAACAACCTAAGACAATCAAAATAACTTTCAAGATCTTCATTCTATTGTTGTACTGGACAATTAAATTCTCCAATTTTTATTTTATATTTCTTTCATAGGACTTATTTTCCTTTGCTATCGTATCTTCTTGTTTTGCCATCATATCTTCTTCATTTTCCATAATATCTCCTTTTTCCTTATAGCTAGCCAATTCATCATTCAAACAGTAAATTCTTCTTATCAATTTAGGGATAATATAGCACGCATTTCAGGATCATGCCATTTGAATACACCAGGATATTTAACTCTCTGTTCCAAAAGAAACACAATTATTGTGTGTCACCAATAATATATATATATATATATATAATATATATATATATATATAATATATATATATATATATATATATATATATATATATATATATAAACAAATTACCTCATAGTTTGGACAAGGCACGAAATCTTCTTCCAAGATTACTAGGAGTTCATGAGGTCAACAAGGGCATCTCATCTCCACATTTACAATAAAACAATTGACTTCTAGCAGCAGATCTTGAATGATAGCTAGAAACAACAAATTCTTAATTTTTTATTCCAAATTAAAAATATAGGATAAATAAAGAGAGAATGAAATGTACTTCGAATCCGCGACTGCAAGTGCTGAAATTAGCTACCTACGGTGAAGAAGCTTCAAAATATGAATTGCCCACTTTCTAATTGTGCTTTCAAAGATGAATTCATGAGGAATTGAGAGATTTCGAAAATTTGGGCTTAGGATTTTGCCGAGAATTTGGATATTTATGAAATATTCTGAAAATCTGAACATTATGAGGGGAGGGGGGTGCTTTTGTGTGTCACGTGTGGCGCACGTGTGATTTTCCGTCCATACTAACTGGACAAATGGACGGAGGGACAGAAACAACGTAAAAGTGACATGTTTAGGGACGAAAATTGTAACTTCATCTTGTTTAGGGACGAAAATTGTGTAAGTGGCAAAGTATAGGGGCGAAAAGTGTAATTATCCCGAATTAGGGATTTGAGGATAGAAATAGGTGGAGAGAATAAGGGTGTCACTTCACCTCATAATTAGACTTAGACTGCCAAATGGACCAGGGTCTATTCAAGCTTATTTTTTAAGCCACATGTGCAATTTCGTCCAAGGTAATTAGCAAATTTGACGACCGAACCAAAAGTGTCAAAAATGGTAAGTTTGAGGACTAAAATCATGGAGGAGAAAGTTTAAGTTTTAGGTGACAAGTAGAGGGATGAAAACTAACTGCAATGGCCACATTGAGACAATTTTTCAAGTACAAGGGGGCAAATGGATGCAATTGATAGTAGAAGGGGGTAAAATGATATCGAGCCAAAGTATAAGGGGAAATCGATGAATTGAGAGTAGAAGGGGTAAAGTGATATCAAACCAAACTTAAGGGGGCAAATCGCTGCAATTGAGAGTACAAGGGGGTAAAGTGATATCCAGCCAAAGTACAAGGGGAGAAAGTGGAATTTACCCTAAAATCATTGAGGAGAAAGTTTAAGTTTTAGGTGACAAGTATAGGGACGAAAACTGTAATTATCCCGAATGAGGCGTCACTCTGCCTCAATTTTAGACTTCCACCTCATGTTTAGACTGCCAAATGAATTGGGAGTGTGTACTAGCTCGAATTGACTGCCACATGTGAAAATTTCGTCCAAAACTTGACGGTCGAACCAAAAATGTCAAAAATTGGTAAATTTGAGGACTAAATTGGTGGTGGCGAAAGTTTAAGGACTAAAACCACTTGAAGTGACAAGTATAAGGACTAAAACTATAATTATCCCGCACATAATTGCATGTCATAAATTTATAGCGAGTTATTTGCAATTAGTACACCTGTATAATCTCAAACTGAGCAGAAAAAGTCAATGTAATAAAAAAATTCACTCAAAACCCCATATAATTTTTTTATATAACACGTTCACTCACCCAATTAGAATTTATCCGCTAACCGCGTTTGAAAAGTCAGAAAAATACCCCAACGGGGTTTCTGCAAAAATACATATAATTATATTGTTATTGTATAATAGTGTATATATATATATATATAAATGAATTAGTAAAAAAAAAAAGGAAAAAGAAATCTTATCATCTTCTTCCCCTTTTAAGTAATAGTACGGCAAGCACACACGATCACGATGTTCAAGCTGAAACTCGATCGGTTGCTTCTAATCTGAACCCTAGCGCCGCTCAGGGGCGGAGCCAGGATTAGAAAGTAGGGGGGGCTAACTAAAATTTCGGGGTTCGGGGCAGCGGCCCGAAAAAAAATTTAGGTTCACAAGACATTGAAAAAATAGGTTTATACTGCGAATTTTTAATTAAAATAATATATATATATATATATATATATATATATATATATATATAGACATTAATATAAAAAATCAAAGATCGATAAATAAATATATTCATAAATTTTATTTAAAACAGTACAAGTTTAACCATTTTATTTTATATTTCTATATTAAATATGATATATATCTATAATTTATATAAAATTATGGAGAATAAACAAAAAAACTAAGGGTAAAAACACATATTTACAAAACCTTTGGGGGGGCAAATTTAATATTCAAAAATTATTATGCCAAAATAGCAAAAAAAAAAAAAAAAAAAATTCTTGGGGGGGCAACAGCCCCCACCCCCGCCCCTCTTAAGTTCCGCCATTGGCGCCGCTAGACGCGGCCTTAGCACTGCCGCGTGAGAAACCGACAGACTGCGTATTGGCCGTATAAACACACGATTTTGTTATACGAAGGATAATTATTTTTTTTTATCGTCCAAAATTGAAACAAACAATAGGTATTGGAGATATTAATATTAAATGATACATTTCACTAACAGCTTAAATTTTTGGTTGAGATGATCGTTCAACAATATAAAATTATAAGTGCTTTAATTTATTACAAATATACTTTCAACATTTCATCAAAATACAGTTAAAAGTAAAACACAAAAGCACAAATGCAAACTTAATCGAATAAAAAAATGTAGAGAAAATGAATAAAATAATAACCGTTACTTCATCAAGAAATCAAATAAACTCCATTATGAATTTGAACTTCTTCTTCCTGATGATGATCATGACGACAATGGACTAGGATCCACCGAAGCAAGATCATGAATCTCCGTAATTTCATCGAAAGCTGCAAAACACTTCTCATCAAGCGTCAGCCACGCTTCTACGCCATCTCCACCGCACGTGTCCGTAAGCCAAAGCATATTAAGGAACGGAAATTCCGTGTCGCTTCCAGAATCGCATCTACTCATCCACACTGGATTCCCCCACCCAAAGTCAACCGAATAAAGACCGAAATTGCACCAGCTCGATATTGACAAGAAATCCGCTTCCTCGGGGCATTCGTCTAGAGTCACTCGAAGATTCTCCCAGTAACCGGAAAACCCTAATTCCCCTCCCCCTTGCATCTTGTTCACGAAATCAACGTCCACCATGCTTATCGCGCTTCTCACTTTCCCGAACAAAGCCTCCACCGAATAATCCCCGCCCGAGTCGTCGACAGGCGCCGCCACCGCCGGTGCCAGCCACAAGAAATTGCCGAAGCTGTGCTCCAAAAAAGCAGGGTCCGCTTTTCTTCTCATGTTCACTACATGAGCCGCAACTGACGTCGTCGAATTCTTTTCCGACGAAGAAGCAGCGATGAAGCACTTCCAGATGAGGGCCGACACGACCTCCACCCTCGACGGCGGGCGCCCCTCGAGGCTCTCCCGGGACATCTTTGCCCGAAGTTTCGATATCGCGGAAGAATCAAACACGTAGCGCCGCAGCACAGTTTTCCCGACTCTGAAGTATTTTCTCATGGCGGCGGAGAGTAAGCAGTTCTCCCTCTGCAAGGATTCGTTCTGGGGGAAGATAGTCTGCGCTGTGTAGTCCGGGATGATTGCTGCCGCCGGACCACCGCTAGCTGCGGCCGCCCAAGCTTTCATGAAACTACCAACCGACACCCCATCCACAACTTTATGAAAGAAAAGTGAACCAATGGCTACGCCGCCGCAAGAGAAGTAGTTAACCTGGAGCATGGCCACGTGGGAACCGGGACCCGGTTCGTCCCACGTGAGTGTGACCGGTATGTGGGCCCGGCATGCTTTCGGGTCGGGCTTCTTGAGGAAATCAGACAGGTTTTCCTTAAACTTGACAACGACGAGGAGAACACCTTGGTCGTTGCAGTCAATGGATAAGGAGTCTTTGATTCTGCCTGCTAAGGGTTTGTAGAGAGAGAGAGTTGTAGAGAGAGATTGCTTCAGGATTTGCGTTGTCTCACAAATGAAATCATCAATATTATTATTATTATTAATATTTGGATAGTATAAGACGAGAGAAACAAAGACAGGTGGCATTATCTGGTCGAGTAGAGAGTACTTGTGGGTTTTCTTATCATCTGGTGTTGGTGAAGATGGCTTTATGTTTTCTCTTGAAATTATTTCACCCTCCATTTTCTTTTCTTGGATTTGTGCATTAAAAATCTGCGAGGGAGGGAATATATATATATATAGGACTAAATACATTTTACACAAGCTAAAATATACCCCATGTAACACTTACCTTCAAATATTATTTATGATATACTTATATCAAGCAATATTTAATTTGTATTTGTATTTTAATTGTAATACGTCAAAATTTTCGAAAGGAATAACTAAAAAGACTAATAAAATTCTAATATTACAAATATCAAAAAAAATAAAAATGAAATATTTAATTTTTTCTTTTTTAAATGTTATCGTACATTGGGAACATATTTTAATCAACATATAATCGTTGCTGGACCAATTAATTGAATTTATTCACATGGTAAGAAATTAATATATAATAATTAATTGTAATCTTAAGTATTTTAATTTATTTTAGTTCATTAATTTCTTAGAATATAAATATCTAATATTAAAAGTATTAGATTGTTATGTTATTTATTCTACTCATATAAAATTCTAGAATTTTAAATATTGCATTGACTTTTTAATTGATACCTTTGATAAATTATTTATCAATTATTCCATCCAATAAGAGTAGAAATATGTTAAATTATTATTATGTTTTAAATTTCAAAATACAAAATAATTGATGTTGAAGAGGTAATTAAATGTTAGAAGTGATACTTTATGGGGTAAGTGTTATATATAGTATACTTCCAGGGGGGAGAAAATATATATCCCCCAAATATATATATATATAAATATATATTTCTCTCGCGGTGGGGGGCGGAATATATTTTTTTTTTAGAGAAGAAAACGCGCCCCCCCCGTGTCCCGGGGGGGCGTTTATAAAGTCAGCAAGAAATATATTTTTTTTTTTACACGAATATATAGATAGCTATACAAAAAAAATATTGATATTTTTTTTTTTTACATTTTTATATATATATATTTATATATTTTTATATATATATATATATATATCTATATATATATATGTGTGTGTGTATATATATATATATATATATATATATATATATATATATATATATATATATATATATATATATATATATATATATATATATATATATAATATAAATAAAAAAACTTTTCTTTTTAATTTACATTTATTCTTGAACGGTCCTCGCATACATCATTAGTTCTTTTACAGTAACAATTAACATAAACAAAATAAAGCATAAACTCATTTTTTTTAATTAAAATTCCAACTTTCATTTTTGAATCATAAAAAAACAAAAAAAAAAAAAAAAACAATTTTTGGCCAATTTAAAAAAAAAAACGAGTTTGACCCGCTTAAAGTTTTGACCGCCTCGAACCGCCTAAAACCGCCTCACAGGCAAAAATCCGATTTTTCAAACCTTTATACTAACATCGTAAAGGCTTGGGACCGCCTCCGCCTCGGAGACCGATTAATCGGCCGCCTCGACCGATTTTTAGAACACTGATATATATATATTCATCCTATAATAAATATATAAACTTCAACTGTCCCTATAAATGAAACATTCATTGCTAGTTAATTAACACCATCTTAAGGTATTAACTTGATTTATGCATTTATAATGGGGAACAAATCAAAGGACATGATTCCAACTACTATTTTTTAATCTATTCGACCATGAATAATGAGATTTATAAGTTTTGTCATTCAATATAAAATTAATGAAAACTTAATTAAAAAAATACATTGATTTTGTTGTAATAAATAAAATAACTAAAATCAAACAATTAACAAATGAAAAATGTCGGCATTTAGAACATTTAGTTTCTTATGACAAGTCTATGCTCGAAAAATAATCTTTTCGGGGCATTGAAGCATACTATCATATATCATATTCTAGTGAAGTTTTAGAGTGATTTGCCTATACGGGCAAAAGATGATATAGTATAACTACATAAATGTATATTATATTTACATCAATACGAAACATAATTGAGTAAAAAATACATGATGAAAGTAACCTTTCTTTATAATAAAGAACATGCTATGTGGAAGTTTTTAAATAAGTACCTCTACCCCACCTTTTTATTTAAGATCTTATAATGAGTAAAAATAGGAAATAAGCTTATTATCTAAACACTCTAAAAATTAATCCTAAAAATAAGATGTAACAACTTATCGGCTATTAAAACATCTTATCAGACGTAGGATCTTATCAGTTGTTTAAAATAAGCTTAGCCAAACACCCTCTTATTTAAAAATATCTTATTTGTTCTTCAACAACTTATTTTTAAAAAAATTAAGATCTTTTAAAAAAAAATTACCAAACACTTTGGAAGAGCTTATAATCTCTAAAACATCTTATAAGCTCCTTTTAACATCTTATAAGCTTAGCCAAACACCCTCTTAATAAGTTGTGACATGATAATTATTTCCTATTTGACATCCTATTGAATTTATGTGAATTATATGAATTAATGGTAGTAATTAAAGTCTTGTGTGTGTCTGTGTGTGTATGTGACCGTGTGTTGTGTGTGAGGGAGTGTGAATTACTCCCTAAGTTTATTAATTACTAAAGACTCCCCTCTTCTCTTCTATATTGCTAAGAAGCTCCCAAAGTATGTTCTCCCAATATTCCAAGTAAAACCCCCAATGTCTTCTATATTGCAAATAAGGGCCTCATCTCCCCTATAAATAAATGGGGCAATTTGCTATAGGTCCTTCTATAAGAGATTATATGTGTTAAAATCCATCTAATAAACTCTAATTTCCAGCAATTTTTTTTATTTATAATTTGTCAAAAGTACCCCTATCAATATCCCTATCAATATATGGTAAAATAAATTTTCAAAATCAAATCCCCTATTTTTCTCCCTATTATACTGCAAATCCGAAAATTAGAATTTCAAAAATCTTGAAATCTATTTCTTCCCCGTTTCTTCAAAGCGAAGATCTCTCCACAAATTCTGAATCCTTTCATAGGTTTGGGTGTTCGATCGTTTGCAATTTTACCAGGTCGTTTGCATTTTGTCTTCATTCGATTTGCTGTTTCCCTAGTTGCCTTTGTTTCGTTTCGTTTGCTGGTTACAAATTGCTTGTTGTTCGGAAACAACGGCTGCTGTTTAGGGTTTGTTGTTTGAGCGTGTGGATGTCTAAGCGTTTGCAGTTTTACCAGGTCTGAGCATTTTACCTTAATTCCGTTTGCCTTCGTTCGATTCGTTGTTGCCCAATTTGCCTTAGTTTTGTTTGTTGTTTACAAATTGTTTGTTGTTCGGAATCAACGGCTGGTGTTTAGGGTTTGTTGTTTGGAGTTCGTAAAATTGGCCAAAACACGATTAAGTCTTGGTAAGCAGTGATCCTTTGTGTAAAATTTTATTTGCATGTTGGGTTTTCGATTTTGATTTTTTTTCTTTCGTTATTAATTTTGTATTTTGTTCCTTTTTTGCTTTTGTATTTTGTTTGTTTGCTATCTATTTCAAATATTTCAATAATAATTTGAGAACCCCTTTTTTTTCCCCCTTAATAGAAAAGAAGGATGATGATTTCCAATCCCCGAAATCAGGTAAGAAAATTGAGGGGTTTGTTTATGTTACAACTTTGATTATGTTTATTCTAAAACAAAACGTGAACTGTATTTTAAATTACATTTTTTGAGAGTTGTTTGGTGTTGGACCTCCTCTCTATGAACCTTATTATGTGTTATGACTTTACTTTTTGTATTTCTCTGTTATGAGTTTGTAAGTTGAATTTCAATATGTTCGTTTTGGATTTCTACATCTTACCAGTTTTGTTCAAAGAATAATTTTTTTGTTTTTATATTTTTTGGTACATTGAAGAACCCATTTATTCTGTTTTCATTTGCAAAAACTCATTTACTGAAAATTTTGATTTGCACTTAGTTCGGTTAAAATTGCATAAGGCAGCCTATTTTGAAGTTCATAAGGCAGGCTTTTATTTGTATAAAAAAAAAAAAAAATGTAAATTGAAATTACAATAACCAAATATTGTCTGCATTTTAAAGTTGCACATAGCATATTTGAGGAGTTTCATTTGTGGTAGTTTCAGTCCACATTTGTTTATTATGAGTTTGCACTTAATAGTTTTGTTGTTATGATTTTGTACTTAGTATCGTTGTTGTTTTTTGTTATGAGTTTGCATCTTGCAATCCAATTGTTTGTTGTTCGTAAAACGACGGCTGGTGTTTAGTGTTTGCCATTTGGGATTTATACGATAGTCAAAACTCGATTAAGTTTTGGTAAGCAACGATCATGTTAACTGTTAGTATAATTGGTGTGTGCGTTTTGAATTTTTCTGTTATGCCTTAGCAGTTAGCACGGTGTTTTTTTTTTTTTTTTTTTTTTGCCTTTTGTTGTTTCTTTTGATTTTCCATTTTCCATTTTTTTTTTTTTATTATTTTGCATTTTGTGTTTGCTATTTATCTCGAATATTTCGACACTAATTCGATAACCTTTTTTTTTTCCTCTGACATCAAAAGAGGATGATGACTTCGAATCCCCAAAATAAGGTATAATAATTGAGGGGTTTGTTAACGTTATAACTTTGGTTATGTTCTTTCTTGAAATAAATGTAACGGCATTTTAAGTTCCAATTTTTAATTTCCTGAGAATAGAGGTTTGTTTGATGCTAGTCAGAATTTTTATGCGTTTTTTGAAACTAGGTTCGCATTATGCTCTTTAAAGTTTGTTACTCTGATTATGTATTTTGCTATTTTGTGGTTGATTTTTGGTATTTATGTAATCTGAATTAGAAATTTTGTTGGTTAATTTTGAAAAAAAAATATTTGTTTCAAATAAGCCATCATGTTCTTGTTTGCACTTTGAAATTTATTGTTTGTCATTTTTTGTTTGAAATTTATTATTTTCAGTTTCTTGATTGAACTTTGAATTTTTTTTGAAATTGCAGTTATTATTTCGATAATTAATTATTATAATTATACAGACATGATTATGGTCCGGTAATTGCACTTTGAAAGTTTAAATCTTACAATCCTTGTTTGAATTTGCATATGACATTTGTTATTTTCAAGTACCGTTTT